CTCTATTAAGGTGTTCAAGGTTAGTGGGAGCAGCTCCCATCCAGACAAGGGGAGCGTACTCGAGCAGGGGCCGGACGAAGCCGTGATACACGGCCAGCATGCCACGGCAGTCCAGAACACGAGCAGCTCTACGTAGGAGGCCAAGACGTGAGTTTGCCCTGGCAGCAACTGACCGGAGATGGGCGGAAAAGGATAGCTTAGAGTCAACCATAACTCCGAGGAGCTTGAGGTGTGGCTGTTGTGGGATGACCTCCCCTCCAAAGTATATTGCGGAGACAGGCCAAGGCTGCTGTCGATGGCAGGAGATTCGTAGGAGCTGCGACTTGGATGGTTCAAACTTAACATGCCACTTTGTTCCCCATGCATGTAACGCATTAACGGAAGCTTGAAGACTGTCAGCTTGGTGTATGGCATCATCGCGTGTATTGACGCAGGCATACAGCGTGGTGTCGTCTGCAAATGTTCCCATTTCAGACCCTGGAGCCAGGCAGCTATCAGCATCATTTACATATACTAGGAACAGGGACGGTCCAAGGATGCTGCCTTGTGGCACTCCTGCAGAGATCGGATAGCGATCGGAGCTCTTGCCGCCGATGACCACTTCCAGCGAACGACCTGTTAAGTAGTCTCTAAGCCAGTCCAGGAGGGGGCCCTTCACACCGATGTTCCGCAACTTGTGCAGTACACCTGTGTGGGAGACTTGTCAAAAGCCCTGGCGATGTCGACAGCAAGCACCTCCACAGATCCACCAAGGCCAGATGTGGCCGACCACTTGTGGTGTAGTCCCGTAAGTAGATCGGATGGACCTAGGCCTCGGCGATATCTATATCTTTGAAAAGCACTAGAGGATCAGTTGTTCAAGTGATATCTGCATGACGTAGGAAGCACGGTTAGTTTGCAGTCAGTAAATATCCAACTAACAGATAAGCGTAGAAAGGAAAAAGGACATATGGATACAAGTTAAGAGTAACTCTCCACCACTGTAACTAGATACTATACACAGTCAGAAAGTGCAACAACTAGGCACAACACTGACAGAATACTGAGACATTCGACGTCCTGACACCTAGCTTCAACACATCTCCGTAGCGCTAACCGACAGCCTTCAAACTCGGAAGGTTCAAGTCTATGGAGAGACCAAGGAGGGGGTATCAGGACGTCGAATGTCTCAGCACTCTGTCAGTTTTGTGCCTAGTTGTTGCACTTTCTGACTGTATATAGTGTCTAGTTACAGTGGTGGAGAGTTGCTCTTAACTCCTTTCCATATGTCCTTTTTCCTTTCTATTTATTATTGGCTCAATACCCGAGTTTCAGTTAAGCAGTCAATATTTAGTGTCCCACTGCACTGCGACTATTCTTTCTGCCGTCACTGTCTTTGAGACCGTTGTGGAGCCTGCTGGAGCGCACTGCGTTTCACTCCATCTCTCTCCCCCTAGTCTGGCCCTGTGCAGGGACTCGTGTCACCGTGATGTAGCTACATGGGCAAGGACAAGATGTGTGTGGGAGGGGGGGGGGGGGGTGGATGAAGGTGTTCATGAGTGTTCACGAACATGCACATGCGGGGGGGGGGGGGGGGTATTGGTGCATCCGTACATGCATGCAAAAGTGCAACCACTTTGTATTATACACTATGCAGCTCAAGCATGCCCCAAATTCGCATGGCCCAGGTGGTAATTGCAGACCAGTCTCTGAACATCAGCGTGTTGATCTTCCCCTAGAACATGACACGCAGGGTGCTACCCTGTATTTGACGTGTTGGTGCTTAGTGACTGTATTGTGCATTTACTGCGCTCCTATTCATTCAGGTTGGTGCAAACCCTCTCCATGACCACATCTACATGCAGTTGCTGAGATGCTCTTCCCTTCAACCCACCATTCCAGAAATGAATCACGCCTTCTGCAAAGCTATACTGTGTGAACGGTATCACAGTATGTGCCACGTTGACTTTTTCGAAATGCGCTGTGAAATTTGTATGTGGCTCTTTGACAAGTTTGGTGCCACAGGAAGTCCAACAAGATTCGGCATATTTCGGGTCTTATATGTCATGTATTGTGAGCATCCAATGTTTTAAGCCCACTAATGTATAAGTGGAAAAGCAACTTCCTCTCTATTCGAATTCCAGCGCCACAGCCATTTTTTTCTGTTTTGTCTTCTCTCTCTCTCCCTATTCTCTCTCGCTCTCTCTATCTCTCTCTCACCCCCCCCCCCACACACACACACACTCTCTCTCTCTCTCTCACTCTCTAATTTGTGCCCATTCTCCAATGCTTTTGTTCGGTTTCAATGTCCGTCCGAAGGACACACACACACACACACACACACACACACACACACGCACATACACACACACACACATGCACGAGCAGATGCACACGCATATATACCCATGTGTTACCTGTCACTGGGCAGTGACTACAGTACAGTTGTCCCTCTCTAATCCAGCACTTGTTTATCCACAACCCTTGCAAACCAGCACACTATCTGACAAAACTTTTTTCAGTTCATTTTCTACGAACTTGACTTCCGATTACAGCAGCGATTTTCAGCAGCAAATCGCTCAAACTGTACATGCATGTAATTGTAGAATTTTTATAATCCAGCAGTTGTACATCGCATACCGTATCCGCGTACGGCGCACTGGTGCTAGCTATGCCAGTCTGGTCAGTGCATGACGGGCATGAACTATCTTATCAGGGAGCATTCCACACATCAGACATTTGAGAATATAATAATCATACCTATGCATTGTATAGACATGCATCCCATAAAGTTCTTGGATTGTCACTGAAAATTCATGTGTTTTGACGAACGAAACAAATAATGTGTACGTGTAGGTGTAGGTGTACGTGTAGGTGTACGTGTACGTGTAGGTGGGTGTCTGAAGTCGCTGCTAGTGTATTGAACTCATACCGGTAAGTTGGTTAGAGGGTTAGAGGGAGATGATAAACTCACAGTATTCTGTCTTGGCATATCAGGTGATGACGGGAAATTCGCGTTCATTTTTCTCCTTCTTGCCGCCAACCCTGCGGGATGGTACCGGATGTAGGGAGCACTGCTCCTTCCTCCTGCCAGCTTTCAAAGACGCGATTCGGCGATACAATGTTGTAGCCGCTCCCATGCCACCACTTGCTGACAGCACAACTGGCACCAACATCGCATGCTCCACCTCTCTCACTCTCTCTTCATAGCATCTTCTCCTTTTGTTTTTCATGACGCCGGTAGACAATGAATGTTGTGTGTTGCAGGTCGATTTGAGCATGCATGAGCGTTAAAACCCCGTGTATCAAGTACTAGTAAAGACTTTATGTGTTACTTTAAGTAACACGTTACACTCAAAACCACTGCCGGCCCGCGAACAACTGACAGCGACATCAAGCCGCACATGCTCCTCCACGGTGGCTGAGACCTGTTGTTGTCGTTGTTGTTGTCGTCGTCGTTGTTGTTGTTGTTGTTTCGAATCTATATTCTCACGATAGCCAGTTCTTGTTGTTGTTGTAACGTATAAGATAATAATAATAATTAAGAAAGAGAGGACCATACGTTTACAGGTTAGTTATTTTTTTATTTTTTTTTAAGTATGGGGAAGGCCTCTTTTACGGGCAAAGCAAAGCACAATCATCACCATGTATCAGTACAGTGAGTACATGTAGTTAAACCCAACACGAATGAAAAATGTGAAATGGAATAAAACAATATTTGTAAAAAAATAAATAAATTAAAATTAAAATTCAATATCGAACACGAATAAAATAAAATAATATAAATATGTAAAAAATAAACAATATCGAACACGGAATTAATTCCGGAACTATCTACTCAACCAATTCATAATGCAATACCCGCACACTGTGTCAGTGATGGAACTCCGTTACAGGTTAGTTATCCGTTTTGTCCAACACTAACGATTACATGTATAATATAAGCAGGATAATGGTGAGTCAAAATGTGCAAAAATTTGCACAAAACTGACTGATGTGATACTGACATTCAACCACCTGATGCTTAGCTGTACCACGTCTGGAATGCGCAAACCAACTGCCTTCCAACTTACTTGGAAGGTTCTAAGTTAGTTATGAAGTAATGTAAGAAAAGGGGAAGGTGAGCGCATTAGACGAAAACAAGCTAAACATCACAGCGAACTAAGAATGTTATCTATGACAAGGCGATGACGAAGGACCACGGCACAGGACGGCCACTGCTCACTTGGAAAACGCGAAAACAACGACCAGCCAACTTGGGAGGTTCATGTTATCAGAGAAAAGCAAAAGAGGGGAAGTTGCGCGATCACGAAGCAAGGCAGGTCGGACGGCACTATCTCTTCGTTCTATACTACATGTGGAATGGAACTTGTGATGGACTAACAAACGGCAATATGAAGTTAGTAGTGTCACACGACGTAGATCTACGTTTCGCCGTAAAGATGCTGACGGCTCATCAGGTGTGCAGATTAACTCGGATGGAGAGCTAATGATTAAAAAATTTTAAAAGAGGACCATAAGTTTACAATAGCCATGAAAAGTATGAATGCCGCAGACATCACCACGCAACATGACAATTTGTTCAAGGTTTGGTTTTGTGTGTTTCCAAAATCGATTTTCACGTTCCGATCATCAGTGGAAATACGGAACTAAAGAGATCAAGGGAAAAACAAAGGTTAAAAATCCAAAGAAGTGTGACACATGACGGGTAACTTGTGGTAAGTATTACAAAAAGTGTCCCGTGTTCATGAGTTGTTTCTGCACTGTTCATGCCCGTTTGTCACACTTACTCTTTATTTTTGTTCTCACTTTTTGTAATACTTACCACAAGTTACCCGTCATGTGTCACACTTCTTTGGATTTTTAACCTTTGTTTTTCCCTTGATCTCTTTAGTTCCGTATTTCCACTGATGATCGGAACGTGAAAATCGATTTTGGAAACACACAAAACCAAACCTTGAACAAATTGTCATGTTGCGTGGTGATGTCTGCGGCATTCATACTTTTCATGGCTATTATTAAACTTTTATCTCCACGTAGATTATTTGTATAAGTTTACAAGTTATCCGTTTTGTCCAACACTAACGATTATTATAGCAATAAAAACTGCTTTATGGCAGTTTTCTTAAAAAAGTTATTGTGTTCTAGTCCATGGACCTCGTCTAAAAAGTAAGAAATTAACGAAATGTGATAGCCGAAAATTAAAATTTCACACAAAACCTCACAATAATCACGACACTTGAAGATCTAATAGTACGGCTTACAACACTTGTTTATTCCGACACTTGTACTTGTACAAGTACATGTACTGCGCCAACATGCTTGCATGTGAAAGAGGACCACGAGGGGAAAAGGTCGTCTCGCATCCTGTGTGTGATTATTGTGAGGTTTTGTGTGAAATTTTAATTTTCGGCTATCACATTTCGTTAATTTCTTACTTTTTAGACGAGGTCCATGGACTAGAACACAATAACTTTTTTAAGAAAACTGCCATAAAGCAGTTTTTATTGCTATAATTTCTTTTGTTTTTTTGGCTAAAGGATATAATTGTGTAGCCAATGGAATGCCCTAAAGATGGCCTACATGTAGCGCCTCTGCATGTTATTATTATTATTTATTTTACTAGGGTGTTTCCCACAGACCTACATGTATGTTCTTCTTACGGGAGCCCCTATGTGTATCATATCAAATTCAATACCGATTCAATAATTTTTTATACGCAAGTCATTCTGTGGATGTTGCAGAATTTCATGACTGTTATAAAATTGTCTTGTCTTTCAGAAAATTCAGATGCCCACACCCTAAATCACATTTACTTGAGAATTGTAACCAGGTGTGTGCCGCAGATGTTTTTGTTGATTCTGTGTTTATAATTGTAGTCATGGGTTGTCGTGATAAGGTCATCCGGCATCATATTGTAGTGAAATCGTAATCCTGTTGATGTCGATAAAACTTTTGGAAGCAGTTCAGTGACTTCAAAGTGTCCACGATTGTCTAAAACAACACAGCAAAGTAGGAACAATAAACATGCATTAAAATGTAAACAAATACATCGCTGAGTCCAACACCTCGTTCCAACAACTACACTGATCCTGGGGATATAAGGGGCAAGGATATATGGTTTTAGGTACTGAGAGACAAACAAGGCACTCCATAATAGTAAAATGTTACACGACTTCGGGGGAGTATGAATGATATCCAGTCAAACCTCTTTGGGACGAACATCAAGGGACCGATGGCATTTGCTCTGTGAGTTTGTGTTAAGGGGGCAGCCTACCCATAAATTTCATACGGCATTCAATTGACCGTAACTTTGGTGTTTCTCAGTGGATTTGAGTGAAATTTTGACCACACACTCCTGCCACTATGCTGGCCCTCAGGACATGATTTACAAGTTCTTGCGCCTCACTGACAGGCTTTCCAGGCCGGAAAAACTCAAATTTCCGGCATAGTGCCACGGTGTGCGAGCCACCCAGGAGTCAAACAAATGCATTTACATTTTTTCACATTTTCGTGCCCATTCTGTCCGTGCGCGGGACCCAAACCTAAAACAAGTCCAGAAGCAGCCATGGGTGGTGGGGTAGGGCCCCTCAACGTGGCCCTGGAATCTGTCACAACGGAACGAGTGGGCGTTCTCTCGCGGACTCCCACAGACCCAAGTCAATTTTTGAATTTTTTAGGTTTAGGGTGTGCTACGAGGTCGTACCTTTGATACAACATCCAGTGCTGGGACCTCCACAGCAAGCCATTTCCACAGCGCTGCACACCAAATCCAGGATGCCCTCAGAAACCGGCAAAGACTGCCACTCACGTTTCACTACTGCCTAGTACTGAATCCTACCTGACTTCTTGACACGACTCAAACTTGCCAAAGTCACTAAATCAACGTCAACTACAATAATCAAGCCACATATCTGCAACGTCACGAGGGTGCTGGCAAAAGTCCTGCTGCACGGCGGCGGGCTTCGCCCGCCGCCGTGCAGCCCAATACGTGGTTTTTTAACGTGATTTTTTGGACTTTTTTGGACTTGGGGCAAAATTCTGCACACTTTCGCGTGTTTCCATAATACGACAAGTTGCGCACGGTCTGCTCACATTCAAATACAGTGCTGCCAACAAATGACAGCATGCAACAAAAAAATCTTTCCTTGCAAGGGCACATTTTCGGCCATAACTCTTGAACGGCTGGTCAGATAGGGACACAATTTTCAGAGAATTTGCAGCTATTCATGCTCTTTTAACTGACGTAGCACTCAATATGAATTTACAAATTCGATTTTTCAGCGAATTTTTGGGTAGTCTGCCGCCTTAACCCTATTTTATAACGAGTGAATACAATTATTTCTCCAATAGAGACACGAATAGATTTCTTCTACAGCGAAAGATTCTAAGCCAGACCAAACCATTGACTCGTCTTTTATGAAACAAATGAGTCACTGAACCTTTCTTTAGCAACATGACGGCAACTGAAACAACAACAGAGAAAATACGATACATGTATAGCACATTCTTGCAGGTACTACAAACAGATTGCAGATCGTAATTCTTGCTCTACCGGCACGCAACTTTATTTGGGGCTGTGCAATCTCGGCGCTACTCACAAATCAAACAGCCCAGACTC